AATAGACTATGCACATCTCTCTCTTGTAGTAATAAGATAGATATCTATATTTTTTAATTGAATTTAGTCATTTAAAAATAAAACAAATAAAAAATTACTAATAAATACAATGACCTGACAAAAATCTTTTTATTTATGCACTAATAGTTCTATAAAAAGACATGCCAAGGTTGTATGCAAATAATATCAATTATAGGTGAAACACAACCTTGCAAGCACAACTGCTTAGTGGCAGAAACATGAGTGGAACAGAGATACCCATGATGACTTCTGTACAATATCTATCTCTAATGGTTTAGTATAATTCAATAAGTGATAGATTATAATATGAACTCTGTGCTATTAGTATTCACCGATGATGATGAAGGTGAGGATGAAGTCAGAACAGTTGGCCTAGTGTAAGAAAGGCAGAAAATAACCACTACGGTTTCCAGGGAAGACCACATGAAGGTCAACCTGTTGATATATTGTTAGTAATGAAGCTGTTAGACCCTAAAGGAACTGTTATTTGTTACTAACAGTCCTATTTCCTCCCTAGCATAGATACTGCATCCTCTACTTAAGTACCTAATAATTCATAAACAATTTCAATTGCCATATAATTGTGCTGAGAGGAAGGATATTCAAAAATAACTTATAAAATATAACTAGTTGTTAAAAATACCAATTACATCATGATGTAAGTAGCTAAATAAATCTTAAACTAGCAATCTCCGCAGTTTTTAATAAAATACAGCTCATGTTGCTTATTGATCATGTAAATTTCTATAGATGAATGATGAAGAATTTTTAAGATTGGTAAGAATTTTTCAAGATTATACATTACACAAAGATAAAAATCAAATCTTAACTCTTTTCAATATTAGTTTACCTTTACATAATGGGGACTAATTAATAACATGAACCTAATCTTTTCTATGTCTATACTAAGTTAAACTCTGTTCTCTCAATTTGCTGATACTACTATCAGAATTATTTGTTAGTAAATATTTATTGCTTAATTAAAACTTCATTGAAAATCAGAATCCTTTAGTTATGGGGAAAGATCTGTGTATATTAATGGATTGTTAAAGTATAGAGTAAAATAAAAACCCAGAGGGAACTTTGTACAAAGGTCTTCTGCATGGGTAACTCTGGCCCACTCATGTTTTTACCATGAATCAGCTGTGCTTGCTTGGCAGTTTCACATTGAAGGGTGGGATATTGCAATAAAATTATAAGAGTATGGAAGCTTAACATCTTACTCCTCAAGGATGGCAAACCCAAGCGAGGTACTATGACCATTATATTGTATCTTGAGATGCCCTTGCCTTGGTGCTGTTCATGCCTGTAGGTGACAGTTAATACTTTCAAAAAGAGAGCCTCTAGGATGTAGATAATATGTCTGTAGGCAGATTAGAGTATGAGCAGAACAGATGGTCAAATCTTTACTATATAGAATATGTACCCAACACACCAACTATGATGTTACCAACAGGTTAGCCACTGAACAAAGACTGGCCTAATCATAATAAATTAAATTGAATCCATTAAATCCTCTTATAAATACTTTCAATGTATTTTTTTAATTCTAGTTTATAAAATGCATCTTGACATTAAATTTTATGTTTAATTGATTAATAATAATAATATCAGTCACTGAATCTAACAAAAAGTAAAGAATTACATATATATTTATACTATAACTATAGTTAATTATTGTTATGTCAAAAAAGAAATTGTCTTTATATGCTCAAATATAATAGAAAAAGTGTGAGAAATAAAACAATAAGATTCTAGCCAGATGTAAGTAGACAATACTTAAATAATTAAGTATTAAGTAATTAACAGTTGTCCATGAGACTGGGAATATTAGAATGGAGTTTAGTGGATTTGTAATTAAAAAAATGTACAAACCCATATGGTAATTTTTTTTGATTAAATTAAATTTTCTATCTCATGTCAGTTGTGATTAATAATACTGATAATTTACAGGTAGCATTAAATTATAATAATTATATAAAAAATCTTATAATCTCATTGTATATTAATTTAGCTAACTAAGGATTAAATAAAAAATAGAATGAAAGTTTAATGGTGTAAATATATCTTAGTTAAACTTATAAATATTATCTTCTAAATGCTTACATAAATATTATGAAGATACTGTTTGGTCTCTTATCAACAAGCTCTTTGTATATATACTTGTACTATGTAACTAATTTTTTTAAATTTATAAATGAAAAATTAGGTATTTACATAAAAATACAAAGAATTCAGGCTGGCTGAATTTACAATTTCTCAAATCTATGAATGAAGTAAATACATACTAAGTTTCTATTTATGCTAAGTAGATGGTAGGTAGCAAACGAACCTGATAATTCTAACGAATTGACCAACTTAAAACACATGTGTATGGTTAACGTAAATATTTACTTACTTGTACGTATTTATAATCCAAAGAGAACGCCTAATCCTCACAAAACGGCACTGCGGCCAGTCACACACAAAACACAACACCACCACAAATTCCAGGCATTATATCCACTTATCTCACAAAAGGTAATGGGGTAATACTTCGTTATACCGGCACCATAATTTTAAACACGATTATTAAATTAATAAGAATATATCGCATTTATAGGCACTGTAATCGGAATATTTATTTGACAGATGTCGATAAAATCGTACGATAACGTTCTGAAATAAACGTATCCACTAGAGTAACGATTCGTTAATACTGAACATAATAAATACAATAGTAGCGGAGCGGGGCCGGGCGCTGCGCAACGAAAGGCGGTACGGTGCTACAAAGTTCGAATTCGAGCGAAGACCAAGCACAAGCGAAGTAAAGCAACGCTTGCTTTATAGACTCAAGCGACTCGTTTTCTATTTACACGAAAGTCAACAATCGGAATCGGTAACCTCGAGTCGGTCGGTGTTCATCTTGGTCTGTCAGTGAACTGTCAATGTCACATGTTAAATTGATAGTGTCGTTTCGATATTTCAAATTTGTTCTATACAAAAGTTTTAATAAAAAATATTTTAAATATAGTTATATAATGAAAAGATAGATACTATTTGCATATCATTGATATATTTATATATTTCCCTAAAATGCTTGAGATTCGATGCCGTGTATTTTGCTCGTGTTAAAAATTGCATATTTTATATTATGGCACACTGCCATCTATTGTCGAGTAGTAAAATTAAAATAATTTGTATATTTAATGTAACGTAATACTTGCTTTATGGTGTAAACTAGATGGCAATGTTAGTAAGATTTATAACTAATGAAACTCTAAATTTTAATTTTTTAAGTTACATCTGCAACTAAATTTCAATTGCAATGAATTTAAATGATCTTAGGTTTTTATTATGGCTTCCAACATATTTCAAAAAAGTACGTTAAATATTGTCTTCGTAAAGACGAGATAAAACCTACCTATATGCAGTGACTGTGACGGACCCGTATATAATTTTATTTATAGACCCGTTAATAATTTTACTTATTTTTGGTCTAATCTCTGTGTAAATCATAAAAGTTATAAGAAGGACAAAATTAAATAGAAAAAAAATATATTTAAAACTAAGTTCCTTTTAGGTCTAAAATAGTTAACTTGAAGGAGGTTGAATCAGTCATACTTTTAGGTGCTAGCTGGATTTGAACTTACGCCATGATCTTTATCTGAAGTATTTTTTTTAGTGGGTATTTATTGTATGAAAATGGAGTGGTAACCCCGTCTGCGCTAATGAGATACGCTGGCGGGGCACCAGTGAAGGGTGATCGATGAGGATGAAAACAGGCCAGTTAGCCCATCATGATGAATTCATCTGGAATTAATTATGATAGTTTCCAGGGGGAGCCGCGAGGAGGTCGAACTGGTTGGATATATTGCTAGCAATGGGATTCTTAGTCTCCATTACTAACAATCTTTTCCCCCTTTTTTTAGTGGGTAAAAATGAAATGGTAACCCCACCTGCGCTATCGGTATACTCTGGTGGTACCACTGAGAGATAATAGGTGAAGGTGAAAGCAGGTCAGTTGGCCCATCGTCACGTTATACGTAAAATAAAAAAGTTATGGTTACCTGAACTAACTTTACTTCGAAACAGGGACAGGTGGCAGATACTGCAGACGGGGTTACCATTCCATTATCACCCATAAAAAAAAAAAAAAAACTATTGGACAACGACGATTATTCTTATTTAATAATCTTTGAGAGTGGCGACAGTAATTTGTTAGCTACGGAGACTAACGGCCCCATTGCTAGCAATACACCCTGTTAGGTCGACCTTCTCGTGGTTCCCCCTGGAAACCATTGTCACTGATTTATTGCCGAATTTGTCACATCAAGCCAACTATTCTGTTTCATCCTCGCCTATCACTGGTGCCCCGCCAGCCTCTACCAATAGCACAGGCGAGGTTACCATTACAATTTCACGCATTAATAAATACCCAAAAACATTTTTCGAATCGTAACCATGTAGGCAGTTACTATTGTACTATAATGAACAAATGTATCTACAATATTCTGAGTACCTTGTGAGTTTACATCGCGTTCACTACATACAGAAATTTCATTTTCCGAAAGTATTATAGAGGTGCAATTTAGTTTTCAAACTGATCGTAAACACTTAAATCTTTGTGCCCTTACACTATACACTCTGATATTTTTCTTTTGAGTCTATGGCAAAACAATAATTGTCTATAGATAGTAACTCGGATGCATTATTTCAGCCGTGTTTCGGTTTGAAGGGTGGGATATGGCGTGAATTTACTGGGTACAGAGGAATAACACCTGAGTCGAAACAGTATACTCTGTTATGTCTATGGTATTACTCATGTCTATAGGCGACGGTTACCACTTTCCATCAGGTGGGCCGTCGGCTTGTTTGCCATTCTAAGTTGTATAAAAAAAAATACAGACCTGTCCCATAGACATTATATAGAACTATTCTTGAGCTACCTGCATCTTATCTTGTTATGCGTCAAAAATATTATTGGTCAATAAAACGAATTTATAATACAAAAACGATTTATTTAAATATGCACTGAAAAAGTTATACAACAGTATTACAAGATGTTACACTTTTTATTTTTGATACTATTAACTTTGGCAAATTACAAAATACAGAGGGAACGTACAAAAATAATATACTATCCTTTTGATAAGGAACAAAACCAAAGTTAATCCTAGGTACTAAATAAAAATAATTTTAAACATAATTTAACGAAATAGTTTGTGCTAGGATAAAGTAGGATAATATAATATAGGAGCCCTGCCCGCAGTCTTATGTTCTTTATTGCACCTTGTAGACTCTGGTGCAGGTTACGTCTTTAGCTGTCATTACCTGAAAATAACAGAGAATATTAATATAAAATATTAAAATACTATATTTTAATACTGATATTAGGCAGTATGACTTATGGTCCTAGCCTGTATGAAAAACCAATTTGAAACAAAAAAATGTGATATGAAAATCCTTGTGTTCTCTCATAATTTTTTACTGTGTGACGTGGGTACTTCAAGAATAGCTTGTTTGACAGCGGTTGCATATTTGTATGTCGACCTTTCGACTAGCTGGATATTATTCATAAACATTTGGAAATCAACCAAACATTTATTTACTGGTGTTCCATCTATAAGAAACAAAGCCCACTGCGTCCTTTTTAAACTTATCAAGTTAATTTTAAACCTGTCAAGTAAGATTCTTCAATATATAAAAAAGGCACTTCCATCAGTTCATTTGTAACTTGATTTGGCTCTTTTTTTATGCTACTTAGAATGGCAAACAAGCTGACGGCCCACCTGGTCGAAAGTGGTAATCGTCGCCTATAGACATGAACAATACCATGGACATAACAGAGTGTACTGTTTCGCCCATCATACCCCCCATGTGTTGCCATTCCTGAGGACTTAGGTGTTATTCTTAATAATTGAAATAACTCTTATGCCGTTTGCTAGTCTGTATTAGAATTTACACAATTTTTGTTGAAAAAAAAAAACAGTTGAGTTTCTTGCCCGTTTTTCTTAGATGAAATTACATTCCGAATGGGCGAAAGAATAATTAAGAAAACGACTATTCAAAATGAAAAATCTTTTAATTAGTTCGGTTCTGAGCTGTGTCCTCACATTTTCGTGGCGTGACTCCTTTAATACAGGGTATCCTAGTTGGAGGACGCCTTACCTTCCTAGTGTTTGGTATGGTTACGTCGCACTTATTTTAACACGATTGAAGTTGGTTTTTTTAGAAATTTTTTAATGACACAATTACTTCAACTGCTATCATATCAGCCGTGAACTGTCCACTGCGAAACATAGATCTCCTCCAAATACTGCCAATTGGGGAGTTTTTCCAGTAGTTTCCACGCTTGGCAGGCGGTTTGGCAACTGCATATAGACTTGGGTGATGTTTTAACAGGGACGCTGCTGTGTACCTCTCGACCATTAAGTTCCCTTGGTCCCCTCTTACGACACTCACGGGAAAAGAAGGGGTAACCCATTCTATACCGGGGCTATAAGGCGATGGGTATAATGTAATGCAAAAAATACGTACAGCCTTCATCTCCTCAGGTCCAAATTCCCTGACGTAGGTGACCTCTAAGCCGTCATTTCCCTTCTGTACCTGCTTCAGCTTGTTGCCTTCGAATGTGCAGACTGACTTCACCTGTAAAGTTAAATACAATATTATCACTATGCGAAATGTAAACTGTTGCCTCATTGTTTATAATAATATTATTTAGAATCCTTGTACTTAATTGCAGAGTATTCAATAGTCAAATTTATTATTATTTATTTAAGTGACCGGTTTGGATGAGTGTTGACCAATCTTTACTAGCTGTTTCCCGTGACTTTGCCTGTGTCAATCAGAACAAAGTAACTTATGTGTTAAGTTAAAGAATAAAGTAATACAAAAACTACTATTTTGATTATTACATAAATCTAAACCGTGCATTTAAAAATAAAGTAGGTATATTATTAATAGAATATGTTGTTACCCAATTATATTATAGCAGGATACGACTTGAAATGGTAAACATGAGCTACGAACGCTCTAAACGATAAAAATTTGTAATCGTTGTCTATCGATATGGAATCAAACTGCACAATGCTCATATTTGATTCCCAGTCGGGTCAATTTAGGAAACAAAGTTTTTCTAATTGACTCAAGTCTGGGTGTAAAATAAACTGATGGTCCACCTGATTAAAGGTGGTAATCTTCGCCTATAGACATGAACAGCACCATGGACATAACAGAGTATATTGAGTCGTCCATGGTAACGCATGAAGAGCGTTGCCATTCCGTAGGACTAAGGTGTTATGCCTCTGTACCCTATAACTTCATTGTCATATCTCATCTTGAAACCGATACACGAATGGGATAAAGGAACCCAAGTAGACAACTTTCGTATAAAGTAAGTAAAGACATAAAATATAAACAATATATAAATATAACTAATATAATACAATCATCATTATCATCATTTCAGTCTTTAACTATTCACTGCTGAACATAAGCCTCCCCTTGGGGGGCTTTGCCACTAATCGCCACGCTTGGCAGGCGGATTGGCAACCGCAGTCTATCCATCCTTAGCCCTCCCTTAGTCAGCTTTTACGACACCCACGGGAATGGAAGGGGTGGCCTATTCTATGCCGGGATCAGACAGCCAATATAATACAAAAATAAGATAAACTTAGGAGACATAAGAAAAAATTGTTATAACTACATTAGATGTATGTTTCGCCCAGATGAAACTGTAATACAGCGTCTCTCATGTTACGTACCTACTATCGTATATAACATATGTATACCTTACTTAACCGCACTGCGATACCTATAGAAGAGTATTCAATGACATGAAATGTAACTTATCTCGTCACATTACATATTAATGCGAACAGATATTTTTGTTGATCGTTAAGATATTTTATAGATCATTAGCTTTACCCTGCGACTTCGTCCGCATGATTGGAATAAGTGGGGTTACTCTTGAAATAAATTCCAATAGATCTATATTGGATATTGAGACATTTTGCACTCACAAACTGCAAAAATTTTAAGGGTTCGTATCGTATGAAGATCGAACCCATTAGGAAGGCGAGACAACCAAGGTTATCTTACTGAAATAAAGGTCCAAGCATCTTAACTTTTGGGACTTAGGATTAAGGGTGTTATGGGCAGTACAGTATATTCGGTGTGCGTTATGTAAAATACAATGTTGACCATGCAGGTGCAATTGTTTAACACACCGCGTCGGGGAAAGGGATTCGATTGTAATGAAGGTCTAAAAACCCCATTGCTAGCAATATGGGTGTATTATCTATCAGGTTCACTTCCATGTGGTTCCCTCTGGAAGTTATAGTGATTAGTTCTCGTGGAATTCGTCGCGATGGGCTAACTGACCTGTTTTCATCCTCGCCTATTATCTCTCACTGGCGCCCCGCCAGCATATAGCGATAACGGAGTTATCTTACCATCCCATTTTCACCCTTTAAAAAACACACCGTATCACCTTCCGATAGTCGAACCATTTATTATGTTTATAAATATGCATATTCTTCTTATTTATTAATTATATTGATTTTAAATAAAAATACCGTGTGTTAAGGTGTTGTATTATTTTTTTTTTGGTATTATTTTTAAAATATTTTTAAAAATAAATATAATCGTCAGTACATAAAAGGGTTCATTTTTATGTACTGACAATCATAGTGAATTTATTCGCATCCATTTTTATCCATTAACACACCGTGTCACCATCCGATGATCGTGGGTTCGATTCCCACATAATACAAACTTTTCTATTTATTACTATGTCTGTATTGGTCTGAGTGTTTCCTGAGTCAAGGTGTGTATGTATAATAAAAATATATTTAAGAGAAAAAGTATATAAGTACCTATGTTAGTTATCAAGTATTCACAGTACAAGCTCTGCTTTATTTAGCACTAGATGGCGCGCTTCGTACTTTTGTCAAATGATAATAATTTATAAAAAAAAAGGGGTCAATTCTTACCTTCGCACCATCAGCGCGTTCCTCGTCAAACTCTTGTCCGGGAACGAACTTCACCTCCGTTGTCTTGAAGGTGGACGATGTGACCAGCACGAAGTTGTCGCCGTCTTTACGAAGCTCTACCGTGGGTGTCACGGCATTAGCCGCTTTACGGGTGATGAGGCCCACGCCTGAAATAAGAAAATTGTTACTGGATGATTCCTGCGACTTCATCCCCGCGACCGGAACGGGTTGATTTACAGGGATGAATATCTTTGCGATTGGGATAAATATTATCTATCCAAACACTATAGGTATAATAAATTTCATGACGACTGTTTAAGTCATTAAGACGCCAAGAGGTAACGGAGAAACAAACGAACAGATTCGTTTTCTCATTTATAATATTAGTAATGTTTAATAATAAAGTAATGAACGTATGAATTATTGAAAAAAAAATTACAATCTGACAGCCCAGATTGTAAAATTTTTTCAATCAAAAATATCAGGGGGACTACCATGAAATGAAATTCCGAAATTTCGGACTCAATTTCGTGTTTTCGTTTATACCTAAATCGGCCCAGTAAATAGAGCTTAACATTTCGTTCGTCATAAATCCTACCATAAAAGTCCAAAGGAATAATATTTTAATATTTTTAATGTTTTTATGTAATTTTAAAATCAAATTTGTGTATCGTTCGGTTTCGAAATTTCGGAATACATTTCATGGTAGGCCCTCTGGAATAAAATATGTCGACCGGTTTGTATTTAAAACTACGTAGGTATTTCATTTTTAGTGATTACCTACATAAATACTCGTGTACTTTAAAATTGCATTAGCTATCCGGTAATTAGCGTAAGACACAGTAAATTGCATTTTAGTCAAGCTTAATGGCGTTCGAAACGAGGCTGAAAATTTTAGTGTTTATTTACGATTCTGGCAATGGTAACCAACCATATAAAATTTTTAAACCACCAGTAAGTATATCTTACTATCGTCCATGCGTAATTTTATTATATGGCCGAAACAGTTAAGAGATGCGGGTTCCAATCAGTCATCGTATATCAATGTTCTTCAATAATTGACAAGTATTTATAATAAAATTTTGTCTGACAGATTTATTAGTAAGGGATACCTATTGTACCCATAGTTTTGTCCATATAGTCACTAGTACATATCCGGATCGAAGGGCCACAATTATTGGCGAAAGAATATGAATGTGTTAGGAAGGTATTTTATTAGTCATGATTTAAAAGTCGTATCGTCGTAGTTGTAGAATACTGACGGATCTTTATATGTAATATTTGTCAGATCCGTCAGTATTCTACGACTATGACGATATAGTCACTAGTACATATCCGGATCGATGGACCACAATATTTGGCAAAGAAATATTAATGTGTTAAGAAGGAATTTTATTATATTGTCAGAAAAGTTATTCAAAAATGCATTTATTTAATACCTATAACATTTCTATTTTAAAAAAGCAAAGAATATACAACAATCTAGTAAAATACACCTTCATATACTTAATCTGGTCTGTTTAAAATATTGTATACTGGCCATCACAAATAATGATTATTTATCTGTTTTTAATTACAGCCATTTGCAGATTTTTAAGGTATTTTTTTTTTTGTTTTGTTTATCCTAAGGGGAAACGCTAAGGGCTCTGCCCATATAGCTTACATCAATTATAATATTCTTTTAAAATTATTAAATTTTCTTCGCTTGAATTGTTGAAAATATATTCATAAAGAGCAAAAAAGGTACTTGAATCTTTTAAAAGCTCTTGAAGCGAGCGAGGAACATTCATTACTGATGATTGTCATTATTTTTGTCAATATTTACATTTACGGAGCGTAGAAAATGATGACAATATTATGACACAGTATTGATCAATATGCCAGTATTATTTACCAGAAGCATTGGATACTTGAATAATTTACCTGGTATTTGATAATGAAATTCAATACGGTTTGATAATGAAATAAATTACCAAGTTCTAACCTACCTAATATTTTCATTAAATCATCGAAGTTTTCAGACGAAACGAGCTTGTATTTCTTGCTTTCCCACGTGTGCTTAGCGATAGAACGAACCGTTTTAAGAGGTTAATTTAATATTAGAAATTTAACTACCGCAGTGCAGTTGGCTTCCCACAAAATTAGTTCTACAGAAATGGCGTTCGTTTGACGGCAATTTCTCTATGATGTGTAGTTATTTTTGATATTCTCTCTATGGAGTATTAAGTCGCATTTCGTAGGTTATATTATTTAGCTTTATTTATCTGAATTTGTACACTTATTTATTTATTTAGTCTTACTGTAACTATTGAAAAATAATATAAAATATATATATGGTACAGTATTAAAGTACAAAAAGCGGTCTTGTCTTATTGCTAAAGCAATATCTTTCAGACAACCTTTGTGTTTGGACAAAAAAAAACAAAGATCATATATGTTTATTTCTTCAATCTATGAAGTGTCACAATGACATAAGAATAAGTAGTCTTTATTTTTATATAATAATAGCATAGAATATGTTTTAGTTTTTAATATAATAGGTATGAAACTTTGTCGCTACAGTTAACAAAAATATTGGAATAACCTCGAAACCCATAGCAATAACTCAAATATTTGATTACTTATTGGTACCGTATTTCTGCGAAGGCCTCGTCCAAGCCTGTAACGTGATATTCCCATCGGTCTACCTCGTCTGACGAATATGGTCACACCGATCGTATATGGCTAGCTTGAGGATTAACGTGGCAAACGATTTCCGATGCAGTGACTAATACTCTAAAGTAAGTAGCTTTATATTTATTTTACAAAGAATATTAGATTAGTGTCAGATTTAAAATAAATTTTATTTAAATAGACTTATATAACAGATCCTTCAAATGGTCTGTTTTTGTGAATCGACTATAGTCTCGAAAAATTATCTAATAATAAGGAATTCTAAGAAACTTCAATTATATGTATTTATTTCATTGTATTTTTTATTAATTACTATTAGCACTACATAAATACATAAAAAAAAAACAAAAATGACTACTGGCTGTATATAATTGTTTTAGTATTAATCTAAGAACTAGGAATTAGAAGGATTGATAAAATAAAAACTGTAAATCATATGATTGCCTCCTTTCTTTTTAGACAAATATAATTAATGAAAAGAAGGCGAGATACACCATAAGTTGTTATATTTCTCAATTTTTGGCAACAGTATTCTGAACATATTTGTTAATAAATTAGATAGTCCTCTCGTGAGAATGCTTGCCGAGAGGACTTGATCATTATTAGTAAATAAGTATTAACACAGTTTTTAAGTATATTTACAAAAATGAACCCAAGTTGTCTGAAATAAACAAATAAATAAAAGAATCAATCCAAAATGAAATGAAATAAATAAAGAAAAGAAAATAAAAGAAATGAAATAGAGAAATAAATAAAAAAAATAATATTATTTTATTTTATACTCTACAATGAGTGAAATGGTGTTCTTATTTTAATTTAAGGGTGTTAAATTTCATTTAAATCATGAGTAATAAACATACAAATATCATTACAAACATGTATCCATCCACCCACCTATCCGGAGACTTTTTTCTTTCTTTTTATTTTGCAGAGCAACAACTCAGGCTATTAATAGCAGCGTACCTTGTGCAATATGAATGAACATTGAACTGCAATGGGCCAGTTTGCAAACTTGCACTGCCGCATTTCTATGCACCGCGTCGGTACCTACCCCATAGAGACCGTTCACCTTTCATAGACACTGCTACTGTTATTCATGTTTTATTTAACACCACTCATTAATTGGAGGGATCACATCCGTTGGACTAATTAATATGGATCACAGTACAAAGAACTAGGCATGGGTAATATTGGTTTCACTCCGATATCTATATATTGCGTCCCTGAACATTGATGGGGGAAAAAGGATTATCACATCAACCATTCCGAAATCGCCCATACACGATGGATATCTATTTACAGTTGCCTTAAATGGATACATTATATTTGCATGATGAAAGAATACGCAGAGCTTCGTGTATATAAATAGTTTTAATAGATTTTTTTTTATAGTTATAATATATGATGGGTCTACAAAAGAGTAATTTTATGAAAATATTAAATTAAATTCATAGGTCAAGAAAAAAGTTTAGAAAACTGACACCTTACAATTGGCCCTAGTGAAGAATATGTAATAGAACACTCAAAAGAAACATGGCTATTCTATAAATAACCAAAACTTTTGGTCTTTTTCTAAAAATTTGCACAATAACAAATTCGCGCGGACCATGGTAAACAACTAGTCTTATTATAAGTATCTACTATCTGTATGTTAGGCATAATCTTATTTAACAATAAAAAATATAGATTATATATAACTATAGCCAATTATTTATAGCTACATATCTTACAATATATTGTTAGCAAGATAAATACTTAATACCTACATTAGTAATATTTACAGGATTATTATTATTTATATGATAATATGATGTAGATAGGTATATTGAACTATGGTACTTACATAGCGCGAGTTATCATCACTGACCTTCAGTTTTTCTGTTCACTAGGTAACTATACTGTAGTAATTATTTAGGTAGGATTAAAGGTAAAGCTACAAAAGTAGGTATTTAGATAATAAAGTCATATTTTTTGCTTGTATCTATGCCTATAATAAAACCTTTTTACAACTGTTTATGACAGTTTATGCTGTCCGTTAAGATTACCTACCTATGCCAATTCCAAATCGTTTTTAATAATTATTTTTTATTAAAAACTTTATGGAGGGAAAACCTAAAATTACTACCATGCGGCTTGAAGTACGTTAAATAGATAAAATCATAATAAAACATATTTATAAATTTCTGTAGATTTTTAGTTAATAAACATAGTTTTTATGTATGTTTTAGTGTATATCCGTTTTATTTTTTAAATAACAAGAATTATTTTCAGTCTGATTATATTATATGAATATTCTACAATATATAAATATATTTATATTCATATATAAATATATTTTTAACTTATTATTTACCAGAGCAAATAAATATACTTATTCGTATATTTTTACATAACTTTTATGTTTTGTTTATTTACTAGTTGAAGAATAATATAAAAACAATATTCAAAAAATTTCAAAAGTCAAAAATTGATAGATAATAAAAATTACTTTTAA